GGGATCACCTCTTTATTTCATATAAAACTTTAAAAATCGCTGATTTAAGTTGACGTTTATTGAAAAAGGGATTGAAGATAAATAATGTTTTCTCAGAAACTGATAGAAATTAAGAAATGGGACTTTTAAAGGTTATAAAGGAACGTTTGAGGTCAGGTTATACCAAATTATAAGCATCCAAGATGATCACTTTATTTCATATAAAGTTTTAAAAATTGCTTACTTAATCTGTCGTTTGCAGAAGATGAGTTTACAAATATAAAACGTTTTCTCCAAAACTGATCGGAATTACGAAATGAAACTTTTCAAGGTTATAAAGGAACGTTTGAGGTTAGGTTATACCAAATTATAAGTTTCCGGGATCACCTCTTTATTTCATATAAAACTTTAAAAATTGCTGATTTAAGTTGACGTTTCTTGAAAAAGGGATTAAAGATAAATAATGTTTTCTCAGAAACTGATAGAAATTAAGAAATGGGACTTTTCAAGGTTATAAAGGAACGTTTGAGGTTAGGTTATACCAAATTATAAGTTTCCGGGATCACCTCTTTAGTTCATATAAAACTTTAAAAATTGCTGATTTAAGTTGACGTTTCTTGAAAAAGGGATTAAAGATAAATAATGTGTTCTCAGAAACTGATAGAAATTAAGAAATGGGACTTTTCAAGGTTATAAAGGAACGTTTGAGGTTAGGTTATACCAAATTATAAGCTTCCAAGATTATCACTTTATATGAAATAAAGTTTTAAAAATTCCTTACTTACTTTGTCGTTTGTAGAAGATGAGTTTACAAATATAAAACGTTTTCTCCAAAACTGATCGGAATTACGAAATGAAACTTTTCAAGGTTATAAACGAACGTTTGAGGTTAGGTTATACCAAATTATAAGTTTCCGGGATCACCTCTTTATTTTATATAAAACTTTAAAAATTGCTGATTTAAGTTGACGTTTCTTGAAAAAGGGATTGAAGATAAATAATGTTTTCTCAGAAACTGATAGAAATTAAGAAATGGGACTTTTCAAGGTTATAAAGGAACGTTTGAGGTCAGGTTATACCAAATTATAAGCATCCAAGATGATCACTTTATTTCATATAAAGTTTTAAAAATTGCTTACTTAATTTGTCGTTTGCTGAAGATGAGTTTACAAATATAAAGCGTTTTCTCCAAAACTGATCGGAATTACGAAATGAAACTTTTCAAGGTTATAAAGGAACGTTTGAGGTCAGGTTATACCAAATTATAAGCATCCAACATGATCACTTTATTTCATATAAAGTTTTAAAAATTGCTTACTTAATTTGTCGTTTGCAGAAGATGAGTTTACAAATATAAAACGTTTTCTCCAAAACTGATCGGAATTACGAAATGAAACTTTTCAAGGTTGTAAAGGAACGTTTGAGGTTAGGTTATACCAAATTATAAGTTTCCGGGATCACCTCTTTATTTCATATAAAACTTTAAAAATTGCTGATTTAAGTTGACGTTTCTTGAAAAAGGGATTGAAGATAAATAATGTTTTCTCAGAAACTGATAGAAATTAAGAAATGGGACTTTTCAAGGTTATAAAGGAACGATTGAGGTCAGGTTATACCAAATTATAAGCATCCAAGATGATCACTTTATTTCATATAAAGTTTTAAAAATTGTTTACTTAATTTGTCGTTTGTAGAAGATGAGTTTACAAATATAAAACGTTTTCTCCAAAACTGATCGGAATTACGAAATGAAACTTTTCAAGGTTATAAAGGAACGTTTGAGGTTAAGTTATATCAAATTATAAGCTTTCGAAATCACCTCTTTATTTCATATACAAATTTAAATATCGCTGATTTAAGTTGACGTTTATTGAAAAAGGGATTGAAGATAAATAATGTTTTCTCCGAAACTGATAGAAATTAAGAAATGAGTCTTTTTAAGGTTATAAAAGAACGTTTGAGGTTAGCTTATACCAAATTATAAGCATCCAAGATGATCACTTTATTTCATATAAAGTTTTAAAAATTGGTTACTTAATTTGTTGTTTGTAGAAGATGAGTTTACAAATATAAAACGTTTTCTCCAAAACTGATCGTAATTTCGAAATGAAACTTTTCAAGGTTATAAAGGAATGTTGGAGGTTAGGTTATACCAAATTATAAGTTTCCGGGATCACCTCTTTATTTCATATAAAACTTTAAAAATTGCTGATTTAATTTAACCTTTATTGAAAAAGGGATTGAAGATAAATAATGTTTTCTCCGAAACTGACAGAAATTAAGAAATGAGTCTCTTCAAGGTTATAAAAGAACGTTTCAGGTTAGGTTATACCAAATTATAAGCTTCCAAGATTATCACTTTATTTCATATAAAGTTTTAAAAATTGCTTACTTCATTTGTCGTTTGCAGAAGATGAGTTTACAAATATAAAGCGTTTTCTCCAAAACTGATCGGAATTACGAAATGAAACTTTTCAAGGTTATAAAGGAACGTTTGAGGTTAGGTTATACCAAATTATAAGTTTCCGGGATCACCTCTTTATTTCATATAAAACTTTAAAAATTGCTGATTTAAGTTGACGTTTCTTGAAAAAGGGATTGAAGATAAATGATGTTTTCTCAGAAACTGATAGAAATTAAGAAATGGGACTTTTCAAGGTTATAAAGGAACGATTGAGGTCAGGTTATACCAAATTATAAGCATCCAAGATGATCACTTTATTTCATATAAACTTTAAAAATTGCTTACTTAATTTGTCGTTTGTAGATGAGTTTACAAATATAAAACGTTTTCTCCAAAACTGATCGGAATTACGAAATGAAACTTTTCAAGGTTATAAAGGAATATTTGAGGTTAGGTTATGCCAAATTATAAGCTTCCGGGATCACCTCTTTATTTCATTTAAAACTCAGAGAGATCATCCTGGAAGCTTATAATTTGGCATAATCTAATCTCAATTCTTATTTTATATATATAATATATATTTTATTATTTAATGATTTTCTTTCTATTTTATATTTGATGTAAATAAAATTCGTTTTTGCACTTTAAATGGATATTTTATTTTTATTTCTCTACCGGTTTCGCCACATAATTATGGCATCTTCAGGAGAATAC